AAAATGAAGGCACTTTTAATGCACAGTAACTAATCAAAGCAAATGAATGGACTCTTACTGTAGACCCTGCTGCCGCACATTAACAGTTTGTTAGTTCACTTTAATCTAGCCCTGTTTCAAAGAGGACTAGATCTCAGCAAATTAATGAATTGTTAATGCACCACAACTGATCAAAGCAAACAGACTGTTAATGTTTGGCAGCAGGGTCCATATAAATGGCAAAATTCATGGTTTCATGGCAACAGTAACTGCCGTGATATAATCATATCCTTATTCATCATTGCTGCCTCTTGTGAGTTTTCCTTATAAGGCTCCTATTCAAATACTGAGCATACCCAATTTTGTTTAGGCTGTAAGATCTGACAAGATCGCACAGTGATATGGACGCAAATACAGATGGTACTCAGACAGACATTGAAAATCTGCAATTAATCTAACAATAAAACTTCAGACACACAAGGTAGGTGAGGTAATATCTTTCATTGGACCAACTTCTTTTGGTGGAAGGGACAAGCTTTTGAGCTTCACAGAGTTGACAGAGAGCTCTGTCTACAACAACATTTGCAAATAAAATGTCAGAAATGCCTGCAGTGGAATGACTTCACAACAGGAAAGAACTAAAGTGGGCCTTGTGAGTATGAAATATCCCATGGGATCCATGAGTTCGCCACACTTTTAGAGGAGTGGCACAAAATGAGATATGTGCATATGCAAGGTCAAGTGTGCATTGTCAAAGGTAATAAAATATTCAGATGTATACTGCTGAGAGAGGGGAGAACAGAAGGGAACCTGCATTAACTTAATGTGGATAGTGTATGTTCACGATTTTAGTGCCGCACATAGTGTAATTGTGTGAAATTGCTGTAAACACACCACAGGGATCATACGGTTCAAGAGGAGTAATTGGACAGTTACTGATAATATTTTATTTTTGTGCAACATAGACATTGATTAGAGAGGGGAGGCTGTTGCTTTTTATGTTTTGATGATGAGTGTGTTTTTTCATCGCCAAGGATCATCACATCATAATATGCCACTACAATTATTATTATGATTGTAATGGTGTGCCAATTGAGGTGAGGTTGATGGATTAGCAAATCCTCCAGCAGCAGAAGCATGAGAAAGGGAACTTGGATTTAAGAAAATGTGTTTCGGGTTGTGTTTGCATCCAGACCTCATATATAGGTAGGGCTCTACCAAATTCATGGTCCATTTTGGTCAATTTCATGGACATAGGATTTTTAAAATTGTAAATTTCATTATTTCAGCTATTTAAATCTGAAATTTCACGATATTATAATTGTAGGGGTCCTGACCCAAAAAGGAATTGTGAGGGGGCTGCAAACTTATTGTAGGGGGAGGGTTGCGGTATTGCTATCCTTACTTCTGCGCTGCTGCTGCTTGCAGTGGTGCTGGGCAGCTGGAGAGCGGTGGCTGCCGGCTGGGAGCCCAGCTCTGAAGGCAGAGCCATTGCCAGCAGCAGGGCAGAAGGAACAGTGGTCTCTCCTATGAAATCTGTATAGTATAGTGTAAAAGCACACAAAAGACCAGATTTCACAGTCCATGATGCATTTTTAATGGCCGTGAATTTGGCAGGGCCCTAGTCATAGTGTTATAGTTTCCCTGTCACTCAAACAGTACCTGGTATTATGTTTCCCATTCTCTGAGAATGCATTTATACAAAATCTGAACTCATAGCCTTGCTTCCATGTATTAAGCTAAATGCAAATAATTACACCATAGTCTGTTGATTTTTAAAATAAGAAAAATATTAAAACACAAACTCTACCTTTACATTTAAGTCTTAATGAGAGACAAATGCTTGTTTTTTATTAATTATTATTATTATTATTATTGCCTTGTGAATATGTAGGCTTCTGCTCTCAGGAAAATAAAGCACCTATTCCCTTTAAGGTAAAAGCTATTAGGGCGGGCATTAGTGGACAAGTTAGGGTCAGCCACTAAGGGGTCATCAGTGGACAAGTTAGCCCCAAATTATACACAGTCAAGCTCATACTGAAGCCAAAATGCCTGGCCACACTTTCCCATTGAGTTGTCTCTTGAAAAACCCACAACCAAAGGATGAATAGTCTAACAGTTGGGGGCCCAATCCTACCCATTAATCCCAGTGGTAATTCTGCCAATTAGTTCAGTGACAGCAATGTCAAACTCTAAAGCTGTAGTTCTGCACTATTCAATGTGACATGAGTGCACTAAGCTCACGGGAGGTCAAGAGGCACGAGTGACTCTGATGAGAAGCAGATGTTAGGCAAGAGGATTCCAACTAAGTGTTGATTAAAATTTTAATTTTTCAATTAGAAGACAGCTGTTTGAAGTGCTTAGAATAATAGATTTAATTGTCTTGTGCTTCTGAAGTCTTTGAGGAGTAAAATGGTTTGTAAAAAGATTGAAATCTTTCAACAAAAACGTGGAGGCAAAAGTTCAGAGAATTCTCTATCTAGTGCTGTATCACACAGGGAGGCTCTAGCTAAACTGCAGAATAAATGCTTGTCGCAAGTACTGCTAGTGAAGTGGATCAAAGAGATTGCTGATAAAATAATTATGTGTCTGAATCTGGAAATTAAGATAACAACAATAGATATTAATAATCTGACCAAAGAGAAGAAAGCATGAGAAGATGAAGCAGAGAGAGTAAGATCTCTTATCCCACTCACTGGCAAATTTACAACTTGGAGAACAAGGCCTAGAACTATGATTCTTCAAACATTTACTACTGCTTGTGATGCTTACTATATTAATTAAGAGAGTCATGGAAAACCGATCAGCCAATGGGAAAGGAATTGTGCTAAGATTCTTCTTCGGGCAAATCAAACAAGAGATTTGTATTCTCCAGCTTTGTAATTTATGCAGTTGTCAAAGGCATTATCCTGGTTCTAATCTGGTCTACATGGGTACATGTCATCTGGGATGAAAGACACTATATATGTGCAAAGCATTATTAGGCCAGATCCTGAGGTCTTTAAAGCTTAAACAAAACCCAACAGAAAGTTATTGGGAGACTTTCCACTGACTTCAGTGGACTTTGAATCAGGCTTTTAGGCTCTGATCCTGCAGCAGGAGCTATGTAGGTGGACTCCTGCACCCATGTGGAATCTCATTGACAATAGTGGGGGTCTGCCTATGTAGACCTAATATCAGGACCTACAACTTAACCCTTACATAGGCAAACTGCTCTGGAAATCAGTGTGTGAAAAAAGGAGTGGAGAAGGTGAAAAAAGAAAAACCGGACTTTACTGGGAGTTTGCCTGAATAAGGAGTAGATAAACAGTAAGGGCTTTTAGGATTTGGCCCCTTAATAAAGCTGGGAGAACCTCATGGAGTTGGAGAGTTTGAAAAATCTATTAAGCTATTTTTGGATTCGGGAACAAGTGTTTTGGCATTATGTAAAACAATTTAAATCCTTCCAAAGAAGATTAGATGAAAAAGAAGCAAACATATCTTTCTATAGAGAATAGAAAGTAATCCTCAAAATTCTACATACAGTGTATTTTCATCTCCCTCCGTCCACCCCCAAACTCCCTTTTTTACAGTCTCCTTGTATTTCACTTTGATCATTGTGCCATTTTCACCTTATATCTTCATCTGGTTTTTACTCTGACCCCTTTCTGCTCTTTGTATCATGGACCGTTTAAAGTAGAATCTGAACTAGATAATCTTTGAGTTGAAGTTTCAAACTGTGACAGTTGACTGGGTCTGAAATTCAGTAGAACAAGTTCACTCATCTGTTGTTATTTCATTATATCACTGCTTTATATATTGGAATATCCATCTCTTCAAAAATGAAGTTGTGTTTTTCTAATAATCATACTCATTTTTTGAACAAGAGTCTGATACATGCTAGTCAGAGGTCTAAAACGGCTAGCTAGGATAAAAAATACCTGTGTTTTTATGCCCGCTGTGAGTAAAAGGAAAAAAGTAGTTGTGTACTATTTATTATGCAGTGTTAACTAACAAATTGATAATCACCTTTCTATGTAATAATAAAGTATAACTTAGTAGTAGGTCTTGTCAAATAATTCAAAATGTATTTGTTAAATTATTTGATAAATACCTGTCAGATTTTATTAATATTTTCTCCAAATATTATTTCAAGTATATACCACTTCCTTCCTCTCTTGCTTTAGTTGCACTTTCTTTCCAGGCTTCACTTGGCTTCATTCTAGCTTTTCTTTACTATTGTCTAAAATTACTTCGTAGTTTGAGACACAAATCCAACATATGCATTATGCTCACCTATAGACCTCAAATCAAGAATTTCCCATAAGATCTGAGATGATGTGTGACATAATGATAAAACCTCTGACCTGTCATCCTGAGAGGCTTCAGCGTCCATGATGCAGTGGCCCCAAACCTGCTCACTGCACTTCCACATCTGTTTTTTCCTAGGTAATTTCTGTATTTATACACACAGCTGGGCTTTGTTTTCTGACTGGCTGTAAGAAACACCCTTTTATTCTTCACGTATCTCCATGTCCTCTAAGTGTAGTCAGGATTCTCCTTGTTTCCAAGCAAGAAGCGACCATAATGGTCCATCTCTGGAAGTTCATAAACCTTGTCAGTTTACAAAACATTCTTGCAAGTAGCTCCAGCCACCGGAAAGCCATGGAATAGAGGATCTAGTGAATTACTAGGACCACATATTAAGCACAATGATTGACATTCTGGCACTGATGTGCTAATTCTGTTCTTTTAATGATAAGCTGTATTGCTTGCACCACAAAGGACCTTTAAAAAAATTATTTGTTTCACCTTATTATCAAACACTCTATAATCAACAGCAAGTCTTGTGGGATCCTGTTATCTACAGCTCACCTATTCTGAAAATATTTTTAGAACAGTTTCCTAATATTTGTGTTCTCCAGCTTTCTGTGACCCAGCTGCTATGCAAAATACCTCTGTTATGTAAAATATTACATTAAAATATGGTTTCAACAAACTCATAACCTAGTGCACTCCAACCACAACAAAGAAGCACTTACTGCCATTGTCATCAGAATCCTCACTGCTGCTAGGAAGCCGACCTCGTTTCATGATCTCCACGGGAAACAGCTGGTGGCCTGTAAAGAAATGAGACAGCAGTTAACCCAAGATAATACACAACCATCAAGTTGTGTTTCAGATGACATTCCAGGATTTATAGCACACAAATGAAAAAAAACAGCTTTAAATAGCATTTAAAATATAAACAGTAAACATCCAAACGATGAGTAACTAGACATATATCATATGGGCAGATGAAAATGTGATTTAATGAGGTGTGATGACAGTTCTGTGGTCACATTCATCTCAAGAAGCAAAAGCATATTTTTGTGTTTTGTGTAGGTGAACCCTACAGTAAAAGTACTCTCACTGGTTAGATTTTCCTCCACCCCACTGTGGCTCTAGATAAGCAATAAAATTATAGTATTATTGCCTCTGTAAATATGTACATTGGCTGATATGCTTTTAAAGCAATTTCAGTCCTGATAGAAGGTGCCAGCCTAACAGCACTGGAGAAAAAAGTCTTCCATTTATCCACAGAGCACGGAGCAGCAATGCAGGCTTCCCTTCCCTAACCAGCTAATGTGCGTCAACCATGCTCTAGAACAGAGTTCTAGAACATAGTTCTCAAACTATGGTCTGTGGACCCAAGCTCCATTCAGGTGGTCTGCGGATAGTTCCCTCTGAGGTGCGCGCCTGGGTGGCCGCACACAAGAAAATGAAGGGCCACCCACCTAATTAGTGGAGGTGCAGGTGTGGCTCCACTAATTAGCTACCTGGACCCTGGAGATGACGCACATGTAAGGTGAAGTGGTGGCCTGGGGGGAAATAGGAGGTAGGTGGGAGGGGGCAATGGGGTGAGAAGAGGGAGTGAGGGAAATTTGAGACGTGCAGGAATGCAGCGGCCAGGGAAAGACGGCCCTCCTTCCCAGCCCCAGCTTGGGGGCTGCCATGGCGGGGGAGAAACCCCCCTCCTTCCCAGCCCCAGCTCGGGGGCTGCCATGGCGGGGGAGAAACCCCCCTCCTTCCCAGCCCCAGCTTGGGGGCTGCCATGACAGGGGAGAGAGGGCACATCCATTGCATTAGAAAGGTAAGACTACTGATATTAAAATATGAGTTGTGTGCTTTTATTTGTAGAACAAAAAAATTTTAATTATTATTACTTTTTTATATACAGCTTTTTTATCCAAAGCGCTTTACAATAGTTAGCTAATGGTACAAACTACATTTGGAAAGATCATTATGTGGTCCACCGAGACCCTCAGCAATTTTCAAGTGGTCTGCGAAAAAAAAGTTTGAGAACAACTGCTCTAGAAGAAACTACCTCTGATGACAGAATAGTTCCCTCCTCCCAAGCATGCTTTTATTACCCTTCCTGGCCTAATGCCAGTTGTTATGCTGGCTTCTTTGATACAGCATGCCTGTTCTGGAGGAGCTAGACAGACTCCCCAACTTGTCATACAGAGGCTGCTAGGAAACTGCTGGATGGCAATGACTTTCAGTAACTATCAAGCTGAGCTGCCCTTGAACCTACTGACTTAGAGGTGAAAGGTTGTGTATCTTAACCCCAATACCCCAAGCAGAGGTGATATGTTCTAATGTTTTATGATGTGGAATAATTCTAAATTTAATTTTCTTTAAGGTCTTCAATAGCTGGTGAACATTGACATGCAAAAGCCCATAAAAATTGAAGTTAAAAAGTGGAAACAACATGACATGACAAGTGTAGCAAAGCATGTTCACCATGAGTTAAAGTGACAAGTATTCTAGGGTGTACATCAAATTCCATGAGTCTTCATTTGTCATGTATCAACTGTAGTGACAATGAGAACTGGGTGATGCATTAGCAGCAAAATGCCAATGCACACCTTCTAGGGGCAGATTCAGAAATCAGATGCCTACGGTTTTCGATTCTTACCTGGTGCAGAAAATCTAAACCTGGTATTCTCATATAAACTGGGATTTCCTAAGAACCTTTCAGCAAAACAGCTCCATGCTGTAGGGGCCAGTGGAAGAAACAGCTTCAATACATAACCAGGTTCAGAGAGACAAATATGTCTAATTGTAGTAAAACAATACTTTAGTGCTTTCAACTTTTGTAAGAACAATTCCCACTTGAAAAGAGGGAAGTCTTGACCAAAACCTGCAGATTGTATGGTTTTATTGAGACTAATACCTTCTCAAGCAAAATTACTCATATACATAAAGGGTAAGGGTTTTTTGCTTAATTAACTCCCATTTTATCATCGTTGAAAGATCTTGAGTAATGAAAGCCACAATTATCTTTTACTTCTCCAGGGAACCTGGTACAATAATAAGGGTTGATGCATTGGCAGATTTTCCTCCTTTGTGGCACAAGTATATGCAAACTTGATATGTAAAATCAGTAAGATTGATTTATCTAACCCAAAGTGACTTACTGTATCAGACATTAGAGTGAATATGGCTGTCTTGGAGATCCACGGTGGTTTTATGTTACAAATGTTTGTCCACTAAAAGTTAATATGAAACCAAAAGCCGGCTGTAATAGATCGAATAAATAGCGGAGAAACCCAGGCCAAAATTTCGAAAGATACTGGGATTGCTGAATCTACTCTCTGAGGATGGCTAAAAAATGAATCTAAACTGAATGGCTTTGTACAAAATATTGATTCTGTTGCGGGGCTTAAGCGAAAACGTGTGTGCTATTCAGCAAAACCCACCATAGACAAAGCCATTCGCACGGGGTTTGCTCAGGAAAGGCTGAAAGGAATGCCGCTAAGTGGGCCAATTCTTCAAGCCCAAATGACAAAATTTGGAAATTTAATAGGGGATGAGTCATTCCAAGCCAGCAAGGGGTTTATAAGTCATTTTAAAAAGCGCCATGGCATAGCGCAGGTATCGATAACTGGAGAAAGCCGATCAGCCAATGAATCGGCCGCGAACACGTTTCCGCCAAGTTAAAAATCTATTTTACAAAATGAAGACTACCATGAAGAACTTTATAATTGTGATGAAACAGCTTTATTTTCAAAACTGCTACCTGATAAGACTTTAGCCTTTAATTACAAGACACAGAAAACAGCTGGATTTAAAAAGATAAAAGATCGTGTGACTCGTCTTTTTTGTAGTAATAAGATGGGCAGCCATAAGCTTGCCCCTCTTCTTGTTGGCCGCTTTCATAACCCTTGCTGCTTTAATCACCTCAATAGAGCCAAACTGCCAGTAATATACACTAACAGCAAAAATGCTTGGATGACGAGACACATTTTCAACAACTGGTTCCACAACAGCTTTGTTCCAGCTGTTCATAAGCATCTGCAATTGAAGAAACTCGAAGCCAAAGCACTTTTGCTACTTGAAAATTGTCCAGCCCATCCTCCAGCCGAATCACTGGTATCGAGTGATGGAACAATTTGAGTGCTATACCTACCATTCAACACAACATCAAAAATTCAACTTTTAGACCAGGGCATTATTCAGAATTTTAAGAACAATTATGGACGGGAGCTGATTTCAGCAACCGTGTCATGCACATTTTCAGGCATTTCCGAATTTCTGAAATAGTTAAACATGAAGAAAATTATTTATTTAGTTAAAAAAGCTTGGGACGGAGTAAAACAAAAGTCCACTGAAAACTGCTGGATGAAGGCTCTCGGTGATGTCTTTTCTGTCAAAGACGGCTCAGACTCGGAAAACTCCAGCAGTGGCACTGATTCAGAGCCAGACTTTGAAGGATTTTCGGAAGACGACGTCCTTCTAACACGCAAACAGTCAAAAGAGGATAAAAGGTAAACTTCTATTTTAAATGATAAAAGATTTTAGTTTGTATACGTCACCGGAAATCATTACTGAGTGGCTAGAGATGGATGAAGATGGCCCGACTTCAGAATTTCTGTCCGAGGAAGAAATATTAACGGGCTGCTAGGCTATGTCGGACCGCAAAAGTGATGGCGAGGATGTCGTTGAAAAGGTCAAATTTTCGCCCACAGAAGCCCTTAGTGCTGTAGAAACTGTTGTAAGATTTATGGAAGAGCAAAATGCAGAAAATATCGAAATCATTCATCTGCGGTGAATGACAGACTTCATAAGAAAGAAAAAAATGCGACCCAGAAAAAGCAGAAATAATGGCGTTTTTTTCTAAGTGAATCATAGACACATTTTTCAGCATGGCCCTCTTAATCCGCGGTCCGTTAACACGAGGTGGTGACAGCTTGACTCCTGACATCCGCGCGTAAACGGGTCTGTACTGTAGCTCATTTCATCATGACTTTTCATAAGTATTTCAGAGGGCAACATACATTCAGAGGTGAAAGAATAATAATCAGTTACACAATCTCCCACAATTATATTATTAAACTCTTTCTGAATCAACAGTTTTAGAATAAACTAGAACTTTATGCATTTAATAAACAGATACAAATATCAAGATCAAAATACATGAGTCAGGCAGCAGCCACAAAGTTTGGATATAGATTTGGATTAAGTTTAAAGATTACAGATCCAGGATTTGGTATGACCCATAATAAAGAAAGCTCATTTGCAAAATTCAGATTCAAATCTCAAAAAAAGGCTTGGAAAATATACCCAGGGAATCTATGAGCTTCAGGACTAAGCCTACTCACGAGGATGAAATACACCGTGCCCCAACTTACACCTCCTCCCAAGCCACAAATTCTACTTGCAATTTAAAGAAATTTAACAATACCAATGTAAATTTTTCTTACAGTGAAAATATTTCCTATGATTCAAGTAAAGAGGGCACCGAGAGAAACAATGAAAAAATAAATTACAAATATCTAAGCTGCATACTCATAGCCCTAGACATCCCTGTTGGTCCATCTCAGACTTTTTCGCATTTGGTCCACAATTATTATATACACAGAAATTGCAAATAGCATTTTATGTACATTGTGACGCTCAGGTGCCGATCATAGCAGATTCCAAGCATACATAGTACAAACTACTATTTCGATTTCTTTCAGACAAGAAATGAGAATAATATTTCTATCCAGCTTGGACTGAAATACTAGATAGCCTCTGGCCAAGAGCAAGGAGACTAACCAAGAACTTTGGATAAGGTAGCAAATATAATTTC